CAGAGTATGGTTTAATAAGAAGTTGACAGCATACACCAAAATCCAGGTCTATAGAGCCTGTGTCCTGAGCACACTCCTATACTGCAGCAAGCCCTGGACCCTTTGTGCAGGGCAGGAGAGGAAGCTGAACACCTTCCAAATGTGTTGCCTTCAATGCGTTTTTGGTATCACTTGGCAGGACAAAGTTCCAAACAGAGTAGTCCTAGAACGAGCTGGAATTTTCAGCATGTATACCTTATTGAAACAGCGCTGTCTACATTGGCTTGGGCACGTCATGAGAATGGCTGATGGTCAAATTCCAAAAGTTCTCCTGTATGAAGAATTAGTGCAGGAAAGCCGCCCCCGAGGGAGACCACAGCTGCAATACAAGGACATCTGCAAGCGGGATCTGAAGGCCTTAGGAATGGACCTCAACAGATGGGAAACTTTGACGTCTGAGCGTTCAGCCTGGAGGCAGGCGGTGCATCATGACCTCTCCCAATTTGAAGAGACACTTGTACAGCAGATTGTATTTGTCTTCAATGTGGAAGAGATTGTCACTCTCGAATTGGCCTTCTCAGTCACACAAGACACTGTTCCAAGACTTCCATACAGAGCACGTTACCATAGTCTCTCGAGACTGAAGGATGCCTACTGGCCGATGGTATCTGAACCAATAACACATGGAGAGTCATCTGGTTTCTATTCCTAGTCAAACCCCTTACAAACTCATTTAAGAAATAGAGTTGCTTGAATTTATTTTTTTAAAAAAATAGACAATACAAGGAAGCTTGGCACCTATCACAGCTTCAAAGAAGAAAAATTTGTCAAGATTACAGCAAAAAAAGAAACAGTTAGGTTCCTTTCTCCAACTCCTGGAGGTACTCACATCTTCCCTACAACTGCTATTTACATACTGTATTTTTAAAAAATACACATCAACATTTTTCCCAAGCAACTAACATTATGTCTAATTTTCCTCTAAGTCTCTCTCTTTTTTTCCTGGTTAAGAGCAGTGGAAGACTCCAAAAGATACAGATAATCTCATCCTATACTTCAATGTTTTAAAACTAGCTCAAACTTTCCCTAGCTCCCACATTATGGTCATATATATGGAACTTCAAAAATTTTCTTGGCAGAAAGAATGGATGACGTAGTCAGTTGAAGTTTTGACACACAACATAACTTTTTGACCTTTCAGCAAATCTGTTTGCTTCTCTGAAGGTCTGCCACAAAATCTGAGGATTTTTCATGAGTCTGGGGGAGTGGACAATGCATGGAATTTGAATGGACTTTTCCAATCCTGTGATCATCAGAATGCTTCCCCCCCCCTCCAAATGCTTAAAACAACTCCATGATGGGATGAGGATGGACATGGGTTTGGAAGAATCAGAATCTCTAGAAAGAATCATTGTCACAGCATTGGCTACTGGAAGATCTTACTGTTGTGTTCTGCTTTACAAGTATGACTCACTGGGGGTGGGAAGGGTATTACATAAGCAATATCTATACACAGATAGTGTTCAACACATGGTATAAAACAACTTGTTTGGAATGCAACCTTATGAATCATTTTTCCAAACCTTCCAAAAATTCCCAAGCAAGTTGAGTACATAAGGGTGTGATCTTCATGCAGGGAAATTGTTTCCTTCTGATATATTTTTCTGTATATTAAATAATCAGAACTGCATTAGTGCAGGCATGGTATTGAAACTGGAGGTGCTTCTAGAAAGTGAACCTGCACTTCACTCAGTGCTGTTAATCAGTCAATGCTACAGTCAGGACAGGGTGCCCATTTCCAGCCAAATGTTGCAATCCCAGCCAATTCTAGCACATACATGCATCATACTGTATATATTCCACCACTTGGAAGGCAACAGATATAGAGAAATCAATAGCATAAAAGGTACTGCTACTACATAACAGAACTACAAAAATTACCCCTGATCTGGACTTTTGAGTAGTGACAAATAGCTGTGTGGTCAGTTACAAACGTCCATCACTGAGAAGGCAAACTAGTGCTGCTAAAAGAAAAGCAGTTTGCCTCAGAAACTCTGCAAATATCAGAGGTGAGTGTCTGAACTTCAAAATATAAAATGAATGTTTAGAACCCTTGGTTTTCTGCTCCAACAATTATTTCACTGATGGCAAATTGATGAATCCTCCAGATATTGAAACACATTTGCTCTTGCAAAGCACACTAAATAACCCTTAACCTTAATCCAGGCCAGCAGAAAGCACTTTCTGCCCCTCCCTCCCACCGCGGGCTAGGTGGGAAACGAGAATGAGGTCCTGCTGGCTTGAGGAATCTGAGCAAAGTAACCTAGGGCTACACCTAGGTTTAAAATACTCTACAAGGATGTCCTCTTATCCAGGTTTCTTTGTTTTAATCACTAGCAAAATGTTAAGTTTTGTATGTCTGCATTGCAGACATACCATTCACCATGTAAAGAGTGATGTAGCCTGTGGATGACCTGCCATGTCTTCATTGAAACCATCTGGGAACTAATACATAACTACTAACAGAAGCTGCTTTTAGACTGCCCTGATGAAGGCAAATGTTCTTGCTAACACAAAATTATACTTAATTATCAAGAAGGAAATCCTGAGTTAGACCATTACTTAGCTGCTATCTGTACCATGTGTTGGTTTCTCTCCCTGCTCCCTAGCCTCCTACCTAGCCTCAGTTTCTCCTCATTGCCTTTGCCTGCACAGTGGTCAGTGGACTGAGGGGATGTGGAGGCTCCCTAAATTTGGGGACAAAGGCATGGTAACTAAGTTTTTGCTATCAGCGCTGCTTTAGCATCAAGGCACAACAGTGAGCTTGTAGTAAAATGCACTGTAAATAAATCCTTAAGAGGGAGCTGCTTATCTACTTTCTGCAGACGACTTACTAAAGCGGAGTGTAGCTGGACCAGACACTCTTGCCTTCCTTCCTACCATGAATATGATCCTATCACAAACATAGCTCTGATGATTTTAATGGGACCAGCAGAGAGAGAGAGAGACAAAAGGTCTGCTGGCCCTGAGGAAACTGCCAAGGAAATCCATTTTATTTGACTTTGATCCTTTCAAACTCAACAGTAGGCCTGATGTATAGCCTTACATATGGAGTTATTTATACACACTGTGAGCTTCAGTGCATGGAATGCCATAGTGTTTACTTAGTATGTGTGATTTTTTCCCTTTTTCTTCTTTTGCTGCTTTTCTTTTCTTTTCTTTTCTTCATGAGGCACCTTTTGTTATCCAGATAACATGTGTCCATGCCTTTTGCTTTCAAAAGACCACCACTTACTCTGTATATACATCAGAGTCCCAGAACACGACACACATTTTACTTTGACACTATTTTCACAAATCATTATTTTATCATGTATTTATACCTGCCTTTCTTCCAAGAAGCAGAAGGCAGCATGCATTTTTATTCTTCATTTCTTTATGTGCCCAACAACCCTATGAGGTGAGCCAGGCTGAGTGATAGTGACAAGCTCAAGTCAATGACTGTACTTGGTCCCAGTTAACCCATCCAACTCTAAAGTCTACATCACACTGCCTCTCCAACTTCTAATAGACATTATATTTTGGCTTATTTCAGAACCCATGTATATCCCTTTCTTTGAAATAAGCCATTCTGAGTAGTAACTCTGAACTGCAATCTGAGAGATCCTGCCAAGGATTCTGGCAGCAAACATTTTATCAGCCAACAGCATGGCCTTGGCAACCCTAAAGCTGCCAAACAGCTTTTTTTTTGCAAACGAAAACAGTGCACTTAGAGATAGTCCCAGCAAGTCCATCTTTCCAGGGAAGCATCTTTGCCCTTTTAGTCAAGAAGGAATACCATGCATGTTAGTTCAGCGGTCCAACATTTTAAAAAGAACCTTCTTTAGGAATATTTTCCCTTCGAAGTAAGAGGGCACAGGCGAAAATAAAGCATGAATGGGGAATCAAGCGCAGCTTTTGTTTGGCTCCCGGCCACTTCTTTCTTTAGAGTAAGACTGGAAAGGGGGGGGGGAGAGAAATCATCTCCCTGGCAGACCAAACTAACAGCACTTTGTAGAATAAGAGCCGTCTCAACAGCTTTCTCCTCCGTCCGGTCAGTGATAGGAAAATAAAACAAGACGTCGGCGGTCGGAGAGTTATGTTGAACGACGGCGGGCATTGGGTTCAATCTCTCCCCCCCCAAATAACACACAGACACAAACGCTTCCAGAAAGCTGTCCTAGGAGAACCTCTCTATCTCTATCTCTCTCTCTCTCACACACACACACACACACACCAGTGCCAATCATTTTAACACACACACACACAAGTGCAAAAATTTTAAAGCACACACACACACACACACACACACACAAACTTTGCACAGCAGAGTCCCTTCCGCGAGGACCACCTCTTGCTTTCACCGCAGAGCCCGGGAGCTAAAGGGGAGCCGGCCGGCCCGGCAGCCGTCCTGCTCAGCCTGCAGCATCGCCCGCCGCTCGCCTACTTACGGTACCTCTTGGCAGGCACGAAATGAAAAGGAGCTGCAGGAGGACGGCGAGTCCGAGGTGAGTCCCGGGAACGGCTTCCATGATGCGGGGGCTCGTGCGAGGGAGAAGGTGGGTCTCCGCGCTGCTCCGGGAGGGAGGAAAGCGGAGGAGCAGCTTGTGGACCAGGACCTCAGCGAGCCGGCCTTGTGGGGAGGCTCTCCGGTTTCAAACCTCGGCTGAGACCGAGCGGGGCGGGGGGGGGAGAGAGAGAACTACTTTCCTGAGGCTCCTCAGAAGCGCGACGACGTCAGCCCCCCCCTCCACACACAAACCTCACAGCTGCTACCTTAACCCTTTCTCGGCTCAGGCGGGCCTTCGGTGTCGTGAAGGGTGACCGACCTCAAGAGCAGGACCGGTATGAAGTTGAACGTCGCGGCTGAGACCGAGCGGGGCGGGGGGGGGAGAGAGAGAACTACTTTCCTGAGGCTCCTCAGAAGCGCGACGACGTCAGCCCCCCCCTCCACACACAAACCTCACAGCTGCTACCTTAACCCTTTCTCGGCTCAGGCGGGCCTTCGGTGTCGTGAAGGGTGACCGACCTCAAGAGCAGGACCGGTATGAAGTTGAACGTCGCCCCCCCCGCGGGTGACCGACCTCAAGAGCAGGACCGGTTTGAGGTTGAACGTCGATCCACCCCCCCGCCCCCTTCGCGCCACTTTTCATCCTGAGGGGAGGCAAAGGCATTCCAGATCAGGGACGAGACGGAGTAACTGGCCGTGTGCTTTTGATAGTGAAAGGTGACCAAAAGGGAAGTACCCTCTTTTTTTTAGGACTACTACCCTCAAAAACTGGCTGGAGAATTCGGAGAATTGTAGCCCAAAATGTCACTTTTCCCATCTCTGAAGATTCCTAGGTAGGGCCGTCATTCATCATTCGGGCCAGCAAGTTTTGTTCCCATGCTCAGTGAGTTGGAGGACATGACTGCCTGAGCCAGGAGTCTCTCTTCTTCCCGGGGAAACAGCCAAGCTGCACAGTCCCATGGTGCTCCCAGGAGAAAGCAATGATAAAGCTCTTTGCCTGCTTTGTACCATTAAAACTCTGGCAAGAGTTGCCATGTCAGAATCAAATTGATACCATGTGATTATTATTTTTGAGAAGTAATGAACATGTGCAAAATCCAGAGGGAGTGTCATGAACAAAGATGGCCAAGAAACACCTGGTCCCTGGGATGACTGGCTTATTAAGGCAAATGAGTGGACGACTGCCCCACTTCTGCCTCTGGCTACCACCAGGCATGCTACTGGCCTGCTTAGCTATAGCAAAAGGCCTCTCCATTTGTGTGTGTGTGTGTGTGTGTGTGTGTGTGTGTGTGTGTGCTGCTTTATTTATGGAGAGAGAGAGAGAGAGAGAGAGAGAGAGAGAATATCTCCGGCTCCTCCAGTCATTTTGCCCTGCACTTTCAGCCCCACCAACCACAGAGGGCACCAGCCACCATTGCTTGACTCCAAACGGTGCTCCCTAGAGAACCTCACCCTCTTCTGTAGCTCTAAAAGGCGGAATGCCTCTGTGCATTGGAAATGGAGTGAGCCTATTCTAACCAGACCCAAGTAAATCCATAGAGGCAAATTAGGACTTCCAAGAACCTGGCATCAATGCAGGCTCATTTCCAGGCATGAAGAGGCCATAGCTCAGTTGTAAAGTACATGGTTTAAATGCCGACATGCCCAAGTTCAGTCCTTTGCCATTGCCAAAGGCACAGGAGAGACAATTTGATTTGGGCACCCATTATAAGGCATGTTCCTGTTTAGACACGCTGCACTTAACAGCATTCAAAAATGTCCTTCCAACTTTTCAATTCGAGTTCTTTCGTACTTTTTGCTCCAACACATACAACACTACTTTGGTTTGAAAACATAATGTAGCTTCTTGAGAGACATTGTGGCTTTCTTCAATGTATGTCATCTAGGCATACTGAAAGCTAGGGTCAGGCCTAACAGGATAGGACACCCAAGCTGTATGAACTCGTTACTTAATCGGCAGTATAATCCTGTCTGGAACATGTTGAGTATCACCAATTATCAGAGAAGTTCAGCTGAAATTCCTTCAAGTTGGAGCTAGGAGCTACCCCAAAGGACAAGAGGGGGAATGAGAAAAATGCTTCCTAGTGGGTGTGAAAAGTGCAGTTCTGCACTTTGAACTGGAGAAAAAGAGAGCTGGGATTTTCTAGCCAGAATTGGCTGAAACTGAGGTTGAAGCTTGGGGCTGGCTGACGGCACAAGTTGATCTTTAGGAATCTGATGCAGCCTCAGCAATTTGCTGACTGCAGAACAGCTGCCTTTTCCCCTCTACTGTGCTCAAGTTATACTTTTGTAAGTAAAATAAATATTGCAAGATATGAATGGTGATCTCTAATGCAGAGAAGAATAAAATCTGTCTCTAGCACCATTCATAGAACTGAAGAGAGGAAGTACAACTGTTATGTATACCCTGCAGATCTTGGATATGTTTTGCAAATCCTCCAGCTAGTGACTTTTTGAATCTCTGTAACTGGCAGTAGTCTAATTAAAGATTCTCAATATATTTACTTCTCCCTTCAACACATTAGTGAGGGCATCTTTCAATAAAGTAGGAGCAAAGTGCCTGTCTCTAAAATGCTGCTTTTAGAGGAAATGCCAGGCTGCACTGTAACATCAGGTGGACATTTTTATGATGTAGATGGAAGACTGAAACAAGGAGTGCCTTCTGCCCTTTGAGCTAAAAAGCTCAGCCACATGTGCACACAATGCAATATCTAGTATTTTTAAATCTCTGCACATTTTTATTCGCATTCTTACAAGCAAGAATGGTATGTTGGGCTTATGAACTGTGCTATGCAATGCATTCAGACATTCCTAAATAAAAGTGCATATATAATGCAAACCTGATGGTGATGCTGCTTTGAAATGCACCTCACAAGTACCTGCTTCTGTGTTCACATGCAAAGACTTATCATCCAGAATTTCTGTACAACACTACAGTAAAATACTGTAAATTATCTGAAATCTACAATCAGCTGCATATGAGAGGTTTGCCAGTTGGTGGAGGAAAACCACCTGTGGGACAAATTTGAAACCCCTTCCATGTGGCAACAGTTTTACAGGCATCCACACAGAACTGGGCATGATCTAAGTCCACAGAGCCATCATTTTGCTTTCCATAATTCAAAATAGGCCAGAAGCTGAACTAGAAATAATAGTTCAAACAATACCATGTATTTGTGGCACCAGTAACATAATAAGAATCTTTCAAGGGGGATTGCTATGTTAATTTGTTGCAGCCTGAAGAGTCTCATGACTCCATAAAGAGTAAAATGTTTTACCCAGCATAGGCTTTCATGGACTGTAGCTGACTTCATCAGAGGCAAGACGCAAGATTACATAAAACATGCAATATCCATCCTATGCAAGTCATCCCACCAGGGTGCCAGGGGGACTGGCACAGTTGCCTGCCCCAAGTAAATTCTGGAAAATGAAATGAAACCTGTTCTGAAACCACTGGAAAGAAAAAAAAATACAGGAATAAATGGAATACCAGTAGAACTATTACAAACCACAGAGACTTAGCCAAAATTCTGATAAGAATATGCCGACAAATCTGGAAAATAAATGAAACCACTGGAAAGAAAAAAAAATACAGAGATAAATGGAATACCAGTAGAGCTATTACAAAACACAGAGACTTAGCCAAAATTCTGACAAGAATATGCCAACAAATCTGGATAATAAAACAGACTAGCAACGTTCAATATACATTCCAATATCCCTAAAAAGGAAATGCCAAGGAATGCAGTAACTATAACATTATTGCTTTAATTTCATATGCAAACAAAGTGATGCTCAAGGTGTTGCAACAAATGCTTTTGCCTTATATGGAATAAGAAATGCCTGAAGTTCAAACCCTTATATGGAATAAGAAATGCCTGAAGTTTAAGCTGAATTCTGAAAAGGAAAAGGCACTCAAGACCATATTGCAAATATCCACTCGCTACTTAAGCACCCCAAAGAATTTCAGAAGGCACTCAAGACCATATTGCAAATATCCACTTGCTACTTAAGCACCCCAAATAATTTCAGAAGCATATCAGTCTACGCTTTATAGACTACAGCAAAATCTTTGACTGTGTGGATCATGAGAAACTATGAGTTGTCCTGACAGAAATGGGTGTGCCACAGCATTTTAAGAGCCTCGTGGTGCAGTGGTTATACCGCTATACTGCAGCCAAAATTGTGCTCACGACCTGGGGTTCAATCCCAGGTAGTGGCTCAAGGTTGACTCGCCCTTCTATCCGTCTGAGGTCAGTAAAATGAGTACCCAGCTCACTGGGGGGGGGGCAATGTGTAGCCTGCATAATTAACTTGTAAACCGCCCAGAGAGTGCTTGAAGCACTATGGGGTGGTATATAAGCAGCATGCTTTGCTTTTGCTTTACTTGATTGTCCTGATATGCAGTCTGTATTGTAGAGAAGAAGCTACTGTTATGACAAAATATGGAGAGACAGAATGGTTTGTTATAGGCAAAGGTGTAAGACAAGGGTGCATTTTATCCCCTTATCTGTTCACTCTGTACACAAAACATGTCATATGGAAAGCCAGATTCAGATAATGGAGGAGTGAAAATTGGAGGAAGAAACATCAGTAATTTAAGATATGCAGATGACATCATCTTACTGACAGAAAGCAGCGATGTCTTGAAATGACTTTTCAGGAAAGTGAAAGAAAAAACTGCCAACGTTACTGACAGAAAGCAGCAATGTCTTGAAATTACTTTTCAGGAAAGTGAAAGAAAAAATTGCCAACACAGGACTGCAGTCAATCAATAAGAAGACCAACAATATCACTACAGAAGAATTATAGGACTTTAACGTTGACAATGAAGAAATTGAAATTATTTGAGATTTTGCATCCCTTGATTCACTCATCAATCCAATCAGACGCCTGACAAATGGAGAGTGTGGCCAAGAAATCAGAAGCCTGAGACTGGCAAGCACAGCAATGAATGAATTAGAAAAGATCATCACATGCAACAATGTTTCACTAGAGACCAAGTCCAAGATGATCTGCACTCTTGGATTTTCTGTCACCATGTATGGACAATAAAGAAAGCTGGCAGGAAAAGAAATGATTCATTTGAAAAATGGTGCTGGAGAACAGCTTTACAGATATCCTGGACTGCAAGAAAAATGAACAAATGGGTTCTAGAT